TTAATAATAAGCAATATTTATTTTCTACTATATTTGACCTTGATTTTATTTAATTTACAAAATATTTTGATTTTAGAATATTCTCAGATAGATATCTTAATAAGTTAAACATAAGCCAAATTGGATAAGCAACTTTGCTTGAATATTAATCATAAATATTACAAAAAGGTCACGTACATACACCCGCTACATTAATCTCCACCGACCACCGATGCGTTAAAAGCTACATGATACAATCGTATTATGATTAACACGCTAGCTAGTAATACCTAGCCATTGCCAAATGTTGAAATATCAAAAATTGACAGTCTTTAGTGTTACTGACATACCTTGCTAGCAGGGTATGCAAATACGCGATTAATCCTTTAAAATTGAACCCCTAAACCTATATCAGGTAATATTTTGTTATTTTTTAGATATGCTTACAATATCAGAGTGAAACTGGATAATTAGTTATAGAACTTGTAGAACATAGCGATTTTAATCAATCATTCAGGCATTCATCCACAGGGCGAGGTTGATTATCCTCACGACCTCACCAATATAGCACTACGACTTCAAGGTTATTCTAATTAATTGATATTATAGCTTGTCTGCAGGGTACGAAAGTAGTCCAATCATCAACATAATAACCTTAACCAATGACAGCCAGGTTAAAATCGAATCAAAATATTATTCATTAAAGGTATCTCCACAGCATATAACATAGAATGCGCAAGTCATGACATTGACATGAGCAATACTAGTGATCTACTTGATCGAATCATTTTTTTCTAAATTAAAAAATTATTAGAACATATAAAAGTCCAAGACAGTCAGTTTAGCGTACCTTCCTATTTTTCTGGTACTATGTAATGATTTCAGCTAATTGTAGATGCTAATAGGATGAGACGGCTCACTTGCATTATTTCTAGTATATTAGTGTGTCACATTAGGGAATTGCTCAATTTCGTTAATTCAAATTTGGGGTTACGTAAAAAGTGAACCTACAGTAATAGTAAGAGATTATTACTCGGTCATTACAATTTGCGCAATAAAATTCATGTCCTTATTTGTACGATTTTTGATCCATCGACTGCATCAGTTGAAGGTAAGAATTTTAGTAAATTCTCCATTTCTTAATTAATATTTTTACTATTAATCGGTGTAATAACTTCGAGTGTCTGATGAAATCCCATAGGTTCAAGTAATCATTTCTTTCAATGAAAAATTTGTATGATCATAATGCATCGAGTTTGTTTGTTATTTTAAGCCAATCCCGAAATCAGAGAAATTCTAGTTCATTGCAGACCCCAAGCTCTGCTCAAGGTTTTAGCTATAGTGTATAATGTGAGATCAACGCTAGTGTTACATTATTGAATTGATCCAATTTTCCCCTACTATTTTTAATGCTAATAAATAAATAAATAGTATATATCTATACGAGTATAGTTCTCCAATAAGATATAAGGATTAAAATTGTTTGGATGTAGCTAATATACATATTACCTGTGCATATTGCTGTTATCCTTTCTGCTTTTTTCAAACATTTCTCTACTTTTAGAATCAGCCGACCGATAATTAAATACTTATTATTTAAGATTAGTAATCTAAAATAGGCTCATAATACTCGCTATCATTTGAATTTGTCCTTCTAATTGATCAACAGTGGTATCCTCACTTTTTCATCCTATCTGTAAGTGTTTGTTAACACCATCTAAGCAGTGCACCGTATCCCATTATTCATCAGCCGATTACACCGTAGTGATTATAGTATAATTAATTTTTATTGCAGAACTTATTCAGAACTAGCCTTAACCTTAATGATCATTGCTTCTCTTATTCTACAATAAGATCGAAGTATTTTCAAGGCTTTGTTTCTCTAAAATAGAGTAGAGTTTGTAGGATATATTAGAAGGTTCTATTCTATTTAATATACCCGGTGAAGAATCTGGTTGTTGCTAATAGAAATAAATTAAACATGGCGGAAAATCTGAGCACAGGTAAGAGTCGGTATTTATTTATTAATCATTACGATTTCTGTTGAAGCAATTTCTTATTTTGATATCGTTGGATTGTTAATAGTAGTCCATCCGATGTGATAGGATTTTATCTATGCTATTAAAGTATCCTTAGATAGCATTTAATCAGGCGATTAAACGTCTATTTTATTTTTTGTCACATGTTTTCTGCCGTTAGACACGTAATAAGATGAAAATTGTTTTTGTTTTTAATTCTACGTTGGACTTTATTTCTTTACCTATAATTCATCGATAATTAACAATTAATGTATTTATCCATCTAGAGAAATTATCCGATGAATATGTTGTTCTGTCTTTATCTGACGTTCACCAACCACCTTTAGGAGCATCGAAAGTTCCCATTGATGATTCCTTTCTGTTACCTACTATTCCAAAGAGTTATTACGAAAGTAAGCTGCTTATCAGTGTTCGTAATTTAAAATATTGTTAATATGAAATATGTCCATAGCTGTAGTGAGTGCTCGATAGTATGCGTCAAAATCTCGAAATCTTTGAGACTTCTTGAGCATATTCTATCATTTTGGTGCTTCAATAGATTTTTCAGACTTACTTTTCAATAAATTATACATAGAGTAATTATTTTTCTATTCATAACATGATCATTCCCAATTACTATCATCGTCTTCCTTCATCTTTATAATTTGGTCCAGTATATTTAATAAAATCAGACTGTAATACCTGTATATTATGGTAGTTTATGAAGTCTATACGTATCTGTAATAGCTTGCACTATTACGCTAGGTCCTAAGATTATGTCTAACGTAGCACGAGTCTAAATTTTGGATCTGTCGCTAAAGACGCGCAAAACCTTAATCTCACACAATAATGCGTTCTCTAGTTGATCGTATCATTATGTACCCATTAATTTATTAGACTTTGGTAATCCTAGAATTATCGTTAGTACGACCTAATGTTACTTCTCTACGGTATTAAAGACTCATTAATATTTAATAGGATATGTTAGGGGCAAAATTTCCAGTTGCGAAATTCATACTTATCGTTACGGTCACATAGAACGTATTTTTCTTAGAATTGCTTAAAGGGATTTCCTATGCTCCTTTTTACAAAAAACATTGAGTTAATTTAGTCACAAGTTGCAAATGTTGATTTCTGTAGGCTATTTTCACCAGATCCTCTGAATATTGGGCATGAATTGACGGTAGATACGATCAACAAAACAATTCTCATCAAATTTCCGACATTAAGATTTTAGACAGTACGTTATCGGAATTTCATTTTTTTAATGTAACATTAGAGCCATTTAGAGGGCAGCTTATGAGACGATTGCTCTATATAGCACGATATTATAGCTTGGTTGCAACATTTCCAGTCGTACTATTTGATTTTTATAAATACCTGGTTTTTAAACAGCTCTTGAATGTGAAATTTCATTGTTCCATAATTTTTATACGTAGAATATTCCCGGCTATGCAGGAATTAAGCAGCAAGTTGTGAAATGACATGATTACGAATTTACTTTTATAAGTACATGACTAAAGCAAATACACCTTAGGCACTTAGCCTGCTTGAAAGCTTAGATTCTACAGCAACTTGAAATTTAGATGGAAAAATAAATCATAGATTAAAGCAAAATCTCCCGGGAAAAAAACTATTAGCTCGATTATTATTGATGTTACCAACTGGAATTGCTGACATAGGCTAACTAATATTAGAAAGAAAATACCGAAGAGAAGACGTATTATAGAATTGAAAAATGTCGTTTTGCTTCCTAGTAATTACAATTATTGCATAGGTCTAAGATGATTTCATCTGTAAGATAGCATAAAACTACATAAGAAATGAGCAGAAAAAAGCGATGATAAAATGTCTTGTGCTTATGTTATTCTCTGAAGAGCATTAAGGTATCAGAAAATAGCAAGATAACCCCGATACTTTTATTTGACATATGGACGTTTTACCAACTTGGGCTTGTGAACATTAAGGATCGATTTAATTTATTTCACAACCAGATCATAACAATAGTAATGATTAGCATATTTCTAGTAGATAGCTTGATCCTTTATAGAAATAAATAGTGATGACAACGTTTATAGCCTATATAGTATCCAGGACTTTTTTAACTGCCGACGTAATACTAATCCATGATCACCCAAGAGGAGAAAATAATAACAACAAACATAAATGTATGCTTCAATGATAATATTGGGTGAAGATTAGGCAATTTATTAAATTGATATGATAGCTGATCGAAATCAAAGTCAAAAAAATATAACTTTGAATTAAGCTTCCAGTAAATTATGAAACGATAAGCTTGAAAGTACAGCAAAAATATTAAACTGGAATAAAAATTGATTCGACCTTTCTAATGTTAATTTCACGTCCTCTTTTAATTGAAGTAATCGTTAAAGTCACAATTTATTGGTCTATGATAAAGTATAATTCTAAAATGCACAATAATTACTACAACCATTACATGAACTGTATTTTGATTAACGCTACTTTTCCGTTTAGACATACAAATATGAGCAGATTGTACATTTAATAACGAATAGATTAATAATTTGCCATAGACCATTTCACTTAAAATCTTTAATTGCTCCATTAGCAAGTGAAGCCATAAGTAAAAGCTATGATCGCTAATTTACAGCAAAATTTATGACAAAGTTTAATCCTAAACTAAATACTGAACTTCATGAAATGTTATTATTAGACTGGCTTAAATTTGCTTTGCAACTTGTTGGTTTTCTAGTAAAATATAGAACTTTTAATGTTAGACTTAGTCATCAGATCTTGATTTGTATTCTTTGCAGATGTTGAAAATATCAAGAACGCGAATAATAATCATAATACCAAGAATGGGTTTGATAAATTCAATTTTGCTAAGAAAGATGTTAATGCCAAGGCAGAGAAGGAAATCAACGAGCCACTTACCGAACAAGGTAAGCGGTAAAACTTTCAATTAATAAGGGTTGAATTAAAGCTTAATCTTTGTCTGCTTTCTAATATTCTATAACAGTCGCTGTTCAGATATTAAACGTTGAAAACCAGAACAATTTGCAGTTAAACGAGGCTGCACTAGAATCAGTCTTAATGCGTGAAGATTTTCGCGATAAAAAGGTGGTCGTTGTGTCTATTAATGGCAAATACCGTCAAGGAAAGTCATTTTTATTAAATTTTTTCCGCTTCTATCTTGAAAAACAGGTGATAATATTACTAAGCTTCATCAAATTTAATAATCCAATTTGTAGTTCATTATCGCAGTATATTCAAAAGCATCCGAAGTTAGCATGCTAATCAATTTGCAATAGCCGTTCAGCCATTATGCGACAGAGAATAACTAAATTTGATTCTAAATCCACAGATTGCTAATCATCAACGGTCTAATAATCGTTCCATTGATTGGCTTGATCACGATCACATTGATCATATTCGAGGATTTAAATGGAAACGCTCTAGTAAACGCGTAACTACCGGCATGTACATGTGGCATAGACCATTTTTGGTTCAGCTACCTGATGGGGAAGAGGTTTGTTTGATGATAGGCAATTAGTATTTGAATAGATTTATTCCAGACTAACGACTATATTTCCACGTACTAATCGATAAAAATTTTATAAGATAGAATTAGCTTTAAATTAAATAACACTATAGAAGATTTTTAAAATTTATGTTATACTATCTTTTATCAGTAGCATAGCTTTTAATTTATTTTCCCCTAAAGGTGGCTTTAGTTGTAATCGATATCCAAGGAATAAAAATTTTTAAAATTAAATTAGGCTGTCGATGATTTGTCTAATTCATGTTATGTTATCTTGTATCAGTAATAGTATTTTTAATTTATCTTCATCTAAAGGTGGCGGTAGTTTTAATCGATACTCAAGGACTTTTCGACAATACAACATCTCCATTGGTTAATAGTGTCATATTTGTTTTAAGCACCATCATCAGTTCCCAGCAGGTATTTTTTTCAATAAAATTACTGCTCAGATATATTACTGCTTCAAAATTCTACAATCAACTGATTGAGGTTTTATAATGCTTGACCGCGCTTCCAAAATTTTATGTTTATAAACTTATCGTTTAATATAGTCTATTCAGAATATAAAGAATAGGAAGAAAACATGATTTAAAAATTGTGTAATACTATAGTTTGATTGTTGACTTACAGGAAAGTCTATCTTATGTTTAAGAATTGACAGTTTGTAGCTGGATTTTAAGCATGACAGCTATGGTGAAGAGGAAATTAGTAATATCATTATTTTAAGTAAGATTACATTACTCCGATGCAACTTCTGTAGTTTAATCAATTGACTGAAGCATAAATTAGCCCATAGATGATTTGCTTTGGTACATTCGACAGTATTCAAGATAATCCTGAAGGTAGCACAAAATTACGTTATTGAAATACACCTGTTGATATGTGATAGCTCTTTCCGATGGCAATTTTTGCAAGGTTGACAAGTTTGATGAATAAAACGCAAGTTTTTGAACAGCTATAACTCAATGAAGTTTTCATACTCCATAGAGTACTAAGCCTTTTTAGTTAGAGAATTTCACGGTTGTGTGTCTTACCGCTTTAATAAAAATAGTATACATTTAGATATATTTAATGTTAGTAAACCTTTGCGGTATTAGGGTTTCATCGGTCAACTTATGGTCAAATCTGATAGTTTCTATTCAATTTTTCACTACTACAAGACTAGCATATAAGTTTATAGCTATAATCATAGCTTAATTCAAATAGAATACACATAGACATATTTGATGTTGTAGTTTAGAGCTTAAGTGTCTATTTTTTGATCAATACAGATATTTGTGTTCGATTCTTTACTACTTAAAAAATAGCATACAGCTCTAAAATTACATTCATCGCTTAATTATAAAGGATAGATTTAGATAAATCTAATGTTGCAGCATTAGAGTTTCATCGGTCAATTTTTTGGTCAATAATAAGATTTTATGTCGATTTTCACTACTAAAAGACTAGTATATAGACCTAAAGATATAACTATAGATTAAATTAATTTTTACAGATTATCAATGTCCAAAAAAATATCAGCCAGGTTGAATTTGAGCAGTTAAAGGTTAATCGATAACAATATGTAGCACAATCAAATTTTAATAATTTTTTTATTTACATATCATTTTAAGGATACTCGGTAAAGTAATTGAAATTCTTAAATCTCTTTCACATTCTATTTAGTTTGTAACTCAATATGCAAAATATGTTACAGAAAATCGAAATGCGGTACCATTTCAGGTTGGAAATTTTATGTTCAAAATATGAGTCCTACGCAGTCTCCCAACTGCAATTACAGATATAACAAACTATATGATGAAATTAATAGCAGCAAAGATTAAATCTAAAACTATAATTATTAGAACTTAACATTTTTGGTAAGAGATTGGATTAACTATGATGAATATGAATTTGGTGTTTATGGTGGTAATAAGTACCTCCAGGATTTACTGACAGAGGTACAGCAAAAAGCTATTAAGTCTATTTTCTGTTAGGCTATAGATTATTAGGCTAACGAACGTCTATTTTTACCTATAAGATGAGCGATGGAATACCGGAAGAACTGGAAAGAGTCAATAACTTTATCTTATCCTGCTTTGAAAATGTCGACTGCTACCTATTTCCATATCCTGGTGATAAAGTAGCAAGTAGCGCCAAATTCGTGGGAAACCTATCAGGTTATTTTTAATTATACAAATTTAATTAATCTAATTGGGAGACTACGAGATCATTACCGTACTTAATGAAATGGTTTGAATCTTATCATTATATTTATTATAGCCCATTTGTATTCATTACACAAACTGAACTAATATCATTAAGAGACTAAGAGATTATGATCATACTTAAGGGAAAGATTTGAATCTTATCGTTTCAGTCATTATAATCCACTTTTATTAATTACACAAATTTAGCTAATCCAATTAGGAAACTAAGAGATTAGTATCATCAGTAACGGAACGATTTCATCCTAATTATTCTACTTCTAGCTCTTGTAATCGAGGCTAGTTATACCATGTCAGATTAGAAAAATATTATAGCTCTTTTCTATATGAATGATTTATTTTATTTCCCATCGCATGCTCTTTAATACGTTTAGACATCAATAAGCCCTTTAAAGATCATGTTCAAATTTTAGCAAGTCATTTATTACATCCAAAAAACCTTCAAATTAAAAGATTTAATCATAGACAGATGACTTGTCGTGATTTAGCATCGATTTTCAAAGTTAGTAGCTTGCAAGAGTGTTTAATTTTGAATAATTGTAATTTACCATTCTATCTAACTTTCAATTAATTTATTATATTTTTGATTTAGCAATTTTTTGCAACTTTGCAAGGAGGTCAGCTACCTGAACCAAAGTTTCTTTTCGAGGTAAATACAATCCTTTATTAAGTAAGCTTGAACACAAGATGATTTATGTAGGCTTAATTTACCAATCGAAAATGAATAGGCAACGGCTGAGGCAACTTACCAAAGTGCTGTTGATGCTATCTTGGAAACTTACGATCAAGCCATGGCAAAGGTGCTTGTCATCTCATACTTTATTTACGTCTAAGTATCTATTTCCGGCTATTATAGCCATCCCGGTAGATAGAGTATTTAAAATATTAATATTACGTTCGATAAAAAAATTTTATTTCCTACTAAAAATATCAAAATCTACCTTGCAAATTAAAATCACTGAGCTTGATTTATCCTATTGAAGAGCTCACATACAATTTCAGCATTCTTAGACATTACCATTTTTAGTTTTGGTTGAAATTGAATTGATTCTTAATTACAACTATTTATCTACAGGAGCTAGAGAAGCATCCAATCTATGTTGAGGATAACGTTCTGTTTGCATTGCATGAGCAACATCTTGAAGAAGCTAAAGAAAATTTTTCTTCATGCCATAAAATGAACTATCCTAAAATAGAAGATCAATATCAGCAAATCTTATTAGCTCGCTTGCAAGAGCGATTAACAAAATGGCAATGTGAAAACTGGAAACGAATGTGTCTATATTTAAAGACACAGCTGCAAATACGCAGCTTGGAAGTAAAGCAAGCACAACAAGAGAATCTTGCTACCCAAGTCAATACTAAAAAATGCCGGGATGATTTACAATCAAGGCTGATCAAAGCCAGTCAGATTGGCAAAAAAATTGTGGATAAAGTTCATGATCAACACTTAGTAAAGGATTTTATTGACAAGAAAGAGAAAGAAATGACAGAATTAAATTCTAAGTTATGTCAAGAAGAGGAACAACTTGAGGAACATCGTAAATTATTACAGGATCGTGAAGTTAAATTAAAAGAAGCGGAAGATCATGTCGATCAGATTCAAGTATCGAATCAGGAAGAAAATGAGCAAGAAAGTGTCCAAAATGATCCATCTATAACACCAACGTTAATTAGAATTCAAGAAAGTGGTCGTGAGGTATGGAGGAAAACATCTCAAGTCTTAAATGCAGTTAATCTAGGCTTGTTATCCAACCGCCAAGCCGTAGATAAAGCGAAAACTTCAATCGATGAAACTGATCGTGAATCGCAGTATTACATTCAAGCTTTGTTGGGTATTAGTGCAGTAGGGATTGCTATCTTTGTTGCTAAATCTCGTTCTTAAACTTAACCTAAAAATACTATTTTATCAACAGGAAAAATTGCATAGCAATAGCGATTATCTTTCTATCGTTTATTTCTTATGACTTTTATACTTTTAGTACACTTAAAGATACCGTCTAGAAGCCTGTCTAATGCAATTCATGCATCTTTATCAATTGAGTTTATAATGAGTATAATGAATGATTTAAGTTTCAATTAAGGAAAACTGATATATTTATCTATTTGTAATAGACTGACAGATTTGCTAGATTAATAATACTTAATCATATGGTAACATCTTAACAATATGAATGTCTAAAATGCTGCATTAAAGAGCAAAAGTGTCAGCATGGTTGGTTAATAAATTTGTTATATTTAGTAATTAGGTGCTCTTGATTACTCTACTTCATGCAATTCAATTTTTGTATAGTAAATTAGTAGAGATACTGACTATAACAATTCCTTGCATCCACGAAATTAGATAGAAATTTCTCAAATTTGCTATAATATCTTGGCTTGACTAATGGCCTTTCTGCAGATAGCTTTAGGATTTAATTATCCTTATAATTCGATGATTATTTCGGAACGGAATACGGCTATTTACACATTGATATCACAAGTCAAATTATGATCACTATAATCTAATAAGATATTAGTTAACGTGTTGCGATATTAATACACTGTAATAATCAAAGTGATATAATTTTTTTAATTATTGCAATAACTACTACTTCTGTAATTATTCACATACTGAATATAGCTATTTATATACGAGTAAAGAGATCAACTTCGATAATCTGAAAATTTTGATTACTCAAGGACAAACTTTAGCGTATTGCGCCTCTATGAGAGGCAGTTTGAACAGGATTATAATCTATCGATTTTTGGAATAGAGTTCATGGCCATAATTACCTGTATTCGTAACAGTCTACATTAAGAGAAATGATCTAAATAACATAAATAAAGGCTTCATTTATATAACTACCGTAATTATTTTGATAATATTGCTTAACTTATGAGATAAATATCTGATAGAAAATCTATTTAGAATTAATCTGCGCCTAAAGAAATGCTGGCATAATTATTCTTAGTACTTATTGCTATCTAAGAATTTATGTAATATGCTTGCTTTCTGATGTACAGGTATGCGTTAATTAAATTAATAAACTTGAAATGAAGCATTTTATCATAATTGCCTTATTTTCATTCCATGATTTAACGATCAGTAATTCATCGGCAATCTTCCGGTAATACTCTCAACTACTAGTTGTAAATTTGGGACTCCGGTCGTGAGTTTGCTAGAAACTTTCCTATTAAAACCGATATAAGCTCTCAAGTTAGTCCAAGTACTGGTATCAACATCTTGGCTAGAACCATCTTTACCTCCATGTCGTGATAAATACATAAATTCGCTAAGTTGTGTTCTATGATTTAATCACTTAATAAACTTAAGTTAGCCATTACGTTATTTTCTATCACTTAATTCTAGTCTTATTAGTGTATGAATATATGCTACTCTTCATTTGTTAATCTAATATCTTACTGAATTACGAAATCTGCAAATATGTTAAAAAAAACAATATGTTACCACATTTATTAAAAAGTCCATCATTTTACAAAATCAATAGGCAATATATTCTATCACCAATTACTAGCCATCGGTCTTTATCCAATAAAAAATGTTTACAAGAATTACATTGAACTCCATGTTGTAATTCCTGCTGTCATTATCAAATTAAATTCTCCTTGTCGAAATTCACCGGTAATTGAATAACTTTAAATAGAACTTTTATTCGTTCTAAATTGAAAAAATAACGTCGCATCATCATAATTTATAGTGAAATTGGGTATCAACGATGGTCCATCCAATAAAAATTTTTAGCAGAATATATGTATGTATACGTCATCAATATCTGTCTTCTTCGTATGCATCTTTCCTCAATAAGAAAAGTTCTAAACTTGTTATATTGAACCCTGCATTAAAATCATCGATATTCCAAACAAATTCAATCTGTTCCGTAGCGACTAACTGATAACCAGTCAACTATAAATAGACTTAGCTATCTTCTAAATCGAAAAATAGAATAACATTTAATAATTTCTGAAATAACAGGGTATCCCAAACAACTTCAATCTGTCCAGTCGATACTTGCTGTTTATTAATTTACTATAAATAGACTTATTATCATTGCTTTAAATCGAAAAATAGGATAATCTTTAATAATTTTTAAAGTAACGGCTATAAATCACAGTCAAACCAACAAATTACGCCTACAAAGCAGATTCCATTGCTTTCATTTTTACTCGATACCATTTTTATATCAGATCTAATCTATTTAAATAGGTTATTGTAGTGCGTCTCGTGAGGTGAAAGAATAATGTTGCACTTTTTTCATGTTTATGAAGTAGAGAATAGAGAAATCAAGTTTCAACATTGTTGCCAGGGTAAAATTGCTACAGAAATAGATGAAATTAAAAGATTATAAACGACACGTCTTGTTATTCATCTATGCATAAACGACATTACTTATTGTGATATATACTAATCACGAGATTCCAAATTTTAGAAAAATAAGGGCTTTATTGAATCTTATACAAAGATTAACTACACACAGCTCTACTTTAGCCGAATACTACTAGTTAAGACTTCTACAACGAACTAATAGAATAATCTAAAGTTGCATGCTTTTATACTTTCCGTAGCATTCGCAGCTACAATCCGCATAGCAACTTTTTACCTTATTTTACACATAGTTAAATTATTCTTAGTAAGACTATTCTACTGCGGACCATCATTAATCCAATATGGATACGACTACAGTACTTACGTAGACATTATTCACACCAGCCAAAGTACAATGAATTAACCATATCCTAATATATGATTTACAGTTCTATTTTACGTA